TCTATGTGCACCCAGTGTCGATCTGCCTACGCTTCTTTGTCGAATGTCTAATCCTGATTGGTCCAGATCTGATTTCATGCAGAGCACCCCATTGCCAAAAGATAGTTCATATACCCCTGACCACTTCATATCTATTATAATTCCATAGCGCCCTGAGCTTCATAATAGGTTCAATTCTTTTTCATATACTAATTATATTCTCCTTATGTTCCTCTAGATATTTCCTTTCCTCATTGAACCAGATTCCCTGATATTTGTATTTTCCTACATGGTCTATTACAATATTTTGTATCCTAGGGGTTTTCTCTTCTGGTCATTGAACATCATTACTCCAGACTTGTGACGACTATAACTCATGCTTAAGGGGTTCCCTTTCTCTGCACATGTTCCAGCTAGTTCCTGTAATGTATCCTGGTTATCTGCCATGAGTACTATATCGTCCGCATACATCAGTCCTGGTGTTACTGTACCGCATTTCTCCCTCCTTCCATAAAACTCACATCAAAACCTGAGTTGCTGTCCCCTCATTTCTTTTCTTTTTTCATTTCACTGAGATATATCGTGAAGAGCAGAGGTGACAGTGGACAGCCCTGCCTGAGCCCTCTTTCTATTTCTGCGGGTTTTTGTTGCCCTAACCAAATTTCCATCCAAGTTATATATACTCCCTCAGTTGACCCCAGAGTTTTTCCTTGCTCACATTATTGTACGCTCCCTTGATGTCGAGAAAAGCTCACCATAAAGGAGTTTGATTCTTCGTTGCCATTTCTATATGCATTGTGTGGCGACGAATAAGTTATCTTCCAATCTTCTATCTCGTAGGAATTTGTTTTGGAGCTCGCCCAGTAGTTGCATATCTTCTGTCCATTCCTCCATTCCCCGCTTTACTGTCTGCATAGCTAATCTGTATAGAACGGAAGTTACCGTTATCGGGCGATATGACTTAATATTGTCTTTGTTTCCTCTGCCTTTATATATTAGTCTCATTTCACTTAGTTTCCAATCATAAGGTACCTCTTTTCCGATAATTACTTGATTAATCACATGCCGTAAGTTCAATTCACTTGTTTTTTCTAGTGTCTTCATGAGTTCAATGGGAATGTCATCTGGGCCTGTCGCTGTACCTGCTGGAACCTTACTTTTTGCCTTGTCCCATTCTTTTGTGGTCATCTCCATTGTTACGTAACTCTGCTCCTCCTCTACATTGCTGCTGTCAGTGCTATCCACTCTCCCCCTCTGCTCAAGCTGGGAGACTGCTTCTTTGATTGTCTGCCATATATATCCCCGCGCCTCTTCCCCCTCTTCTTCTCCCATCCTGAGTGGAAAGTAAGTTTTGGAAACGCTCTGTCTTTCTCCCCTGCGCTTTAATGTGTTCCCAAAACCCGCCGCATTCCTATCTTTTTTTATTCATTTCCATCATTCACTGCAGTCCTGCACTTCCAATTTTGGCCTGTATTAGAGTTGATGCCTCCATCGTTCGCCTCTTGGAAGTTCTATTTTCATTATACTTCAGCTGACAACGCTCCCATTTCCTTTGCCTACTTATGCACCCTAGACGCCTCTTGGCGCCGCAGTATGACTTATTTGACATCTTTATCCCACCAGCTTTTTGATTTCTCTCTTCCTTTGTGCTTTCCTCTTTGTTTAATTCGATGCCTAATTCTCTTTTACAGATTTCTATTAAAGCATCATACGTCCATTCTCTTGCTGGTTGTTTCGATACTACAGTCTCAATACTTTTAGATACATTTTGTGTTTGAGCTTTACTTAGTATAACCTTACCTGCTCGTTCCTGAGCATGCTGTTCTGGTTCGGAAGCGCCAAATTTAATCTTAATTTTTTTGTGGTCGCTCTCTAAACTTTTTGTACCTTCCTCACCTATTTCCATATTTCCTAACCTACCATAAAGTTTGTGGGACATGAGGCAGTAGTCTATTGTTGAGTGTGAGTTGTTTCGTGCCCACGTTATTTTCCTGTCGCATTTTACTTCTGCACTATTTAGGGCATCACTGAAACCTTCTAACGACGTTCCGGTTGTATCCGTGAATCCGTCAAACTCTTCAAAGTGGGCATTCGTGTCTCCTATGATAATTATTCCCTGATTAAGACCAGTTTCTCTGATGCCCCTTGATATACATTTAAAGTGCTCTGTATTTTCCTCCTTTGAGTCATTTCCTGGTATTCAGGTATGCAAACCCCAGAAGAGTATTCAGACCTGTTACCCTACCTTTCAGCCATACCTGTTCTCTGCAGCTTTCCTTCTCTCTTTCCCAGTCTTGTCCTTTAATTAACATGCTTAGACCTCCGCCTTTGCGTTCGCCCCTCCTGCGGTTCCATCCCATTCAGGAATAGCCTGGTATGTACGGTGCTTCCTACTCATTTCTAAGGTGCGTTTTTGCACTAAAATTTTCAGCCTCTAACTGTTCACCAATCTCGCCCCACATTGTTCTGTTTCTACCTCCCTGCATGTTTATGAACCCTAAATTTAGCCGATTTTTGCTCTTATTTCTACGGGGCTTCCTCCTGCTCTCCCTGCTGCTCTTGCGGTACTCACACCCAGGAGCTTCCCCCGTCTCTGGTACTGGTAGATATGGTACAGGTACATCTAGAACGGTGCCCTCCGGGCTCCATAGGTCCCCAAAATATCTACGATATGACACCCAATCCTATCCCTTATCGTGCTACCTGTGGTTCGGATGCCCCATGCAAAAGGGTCGGAGCGAGCACCATACAACACCCGGTTTATTTCCAATACGCCACACTGAAGACGTTGGCTCATCTGCCGAATCACCCGGTAAGCTGCCACCACCCGCTGCTCTGTCTGAAAAGACTCCCCAGAGAAGCCCTTTCCTGGCGCTGAGAGAGAGAGAGAGAGGGAGAAGGAGGTTGGAAAGGAAGAGATAGTCCTGTAGACTCACTCAAATGGGAGTCATGCTGCGGCCCGCGCGCCGTCTAAAGGGAGAGGGTGCCGCGCTCGGCTTGGCTCGGCCGCCGCTTTCTCTTTCTTTTCGGGTCACGTGTCAGGCGTGGCCGGAAAAAGGGGGGGAGGGGGGGGGGGGGAAGAGGGAGTGGGAAAGTCTCGCTTCCTCTCCCTGTGAACTACTTTATCACGCTCTTCTTTCAGCCATGTCGCGCCGCCCGGCCGGCCTCTGCGGAGGACAGCGGGGCTGCTTGTGGGAATCCGCTGCATGTAGGAATGCTTTCGCGTTCCTACACGTAAGCAGTCTTAAGTGTCCCCCAGTAATGTGTTTACTGCCCGAACTATGCGGCTGGAGCTTCTTGTTTTTCTGCAACCGCAACTAAATCCTGTGACTCCGAGAAAACTCGGACTCACAATCTCGCGCGTCTTGTACTTCTGCCTTCGAAAACCTTTCTTGCTCCGTAGCGTTGCTCTGTGTGTGCTGCTTTGTAATACATTAGAGTAGATTCTGAACATGGCCATGGTTAATAGTGCGTAAGAGCAATTGCACAGATTTTTTTACCCCTTTATTGATAGCAACTCGCCGGTACAGCTGGACGGTTCAGAGCTCCGTGGCCGATATTTGATGCATAGGCATCTACGCGCGACGCACCTTTAAAACTTTTCCGCGGTGTCGCTTCTTGATCGGTATCCAAGCGTGCGAAGGCACAGAGATGCAGCAATTCCGCGTGCCAAGGAAGCTTTGATCACGCCGCGAGACCGGCGAAGCTTGTTTTCCACGAGTTGTGCTTTCTTCCTGCGGCGCTGCGCTTTCGTAAAAATTTTCACATATTCTCAAAGGCAAGCCTCACAGTTTTCACAGGGGTTTAAGAAACCTCTTCTGCGAATGATGACGAACAAGTAGAAAACGTGTCTTCAGAACGCTGCCGCCAGCCTCGTCCGCGCTCGCAATAACTCGAATCGCTGCACGTAAGATGGCAATCCGGTGGCCGCACTCGCACTGCAGCGACCAACCAAGGATGCGCGATCCAGCAAATCAGTGGATCTCTATGACAATTGCTGGATCGCGCTCCGCGAGTGCGGCCACCGGACGGCGATCTTGCATGCAGAAAAATCGCGTTCGATTAAATTTTTGACCCGATTAATCGCCACCCTTTAATCGAATTATTAATAGATTGATCGGTCTCGTTCATTTTTTACAGATAATAGTTACAAAAAGTAAAAATTATTCTATTTTCTTGCCTTTTGTGAATATAGAATAAGCGGCGCATTATAAAATCTCGGTTATGAATCAACCTCGATGTCTAGTTGAGAACAGTTCAGGGACACTCAAACGCAGATTCTTACTTCAGCTGCATGAAGCAAAGAAGTTCGTCGAAATTGTCCGACAAGAGCGACCGATCCTTTGATGGTTCAGAAGAGTCTCTGCTGCGCTACAAATGGACACTCGCGCGCGGTATTGAAGTATAGCCGGGACACGTGAAAGCTCTTGCATATGTCCGGAGTTACAAATCTCGCCCCTAAGGTTTACATTAGGTTAAAATTTTACCCAAAAAGTTTGCTGCATAGTGAAAGGGTAACTATTACTTTCCCCTCTTAATTGGTTCGTCAAGAATTTACCGATTAACCGGTTAAAAAAATCGCGATTAAATCATTATTTGATTAATCGGTAAGTTACTCGATCAGTCGCACTGCCCAAAAGGTAAGTATGCACTGGAACCTGCCCAACAGACAGCTTTTGTATGACCAACTTAACGATACACATGATCAACACGCCTCAGATATTGACTGTGTCAATCTGTGTTTGTGTGTGTGTGTCTGTGTGTGTGTGCGCGCGCGCGTGTGTGCGTGTGCGTGTGTGTGTGTGTGTGACTTAAAGCCTTAGTTGAAGCGAGTATCTGGTCACCCAGAATTCTCGCCACACCTTCATGGTGATTAAGATGTGGGGATCACTTTTAGTAAAGTCGAGAGAGGTCCCCTTTATACCTCTCGAAGACCCTCGCCGCACGGGGAATAAAACGGCCCTTTGGTATACTTTCAGACAAGGCAGTCTGATTCAACAATATCTAGACAATATTTTCGTGTACTTTTTCAACTTCAATAGGTCGATCTCACCAGCCAGTTTGGTTACGTGCGACAGCCTTGCCGGAGCACTGCGCGTGCAGAGCCCGAGGCGGCAGGAGCCGTCTTGGACAATGGCGCCTGCCTCCTGTGAACTAAAGTTATGGCGGTTTCACACGTGGCCCCAACGCTTAGTGAGATCGGTCTATTATGTAATCGACAGGGTAGATTTACGCTACTGTAAGACTAAGACGTACAGCTTCCACGAAAACACCGCACTGAAACTTCGAGAAAGGGAGAAAGAAAGTTTAGTTTATATTCATTTCGTCTTCTTTTGCATTTTTTTTTTTTTTTTCTGTGGAGATCTCACTTATTATCGTACAATATGTTACTTTCGCGCACGCGTGTGTGTTGAAAGCGTTTGAATGTGAGAGCCAAACCAAATACTTTGCCAAACCCACGGCCAATCGCAGGACGCCTGTGTTCCGCATTCTAAGTCATTCGACGAGCGCAGTGGAAACAAAGGCAGCTATACCTTTAGGTTTACCCACTAATCCTTCCAACCAGAGCTCGGCGTTCTGACGCCCCGCGAGGTCTCGCCTCCTCCTTCTCCTAAGTTTCTCAGTGCATTGCTTTCTTGATTTCCCTGCAGTCGCCTCAGGGGCCGTCACACGCGAGGAACTGCGATGCAGGGACAGCACGGTGTTCTGCTAGCACTGTTTGTCATCGGTGGCAGCGTTCTGGACTGTTCCGGGTCACAGCTCTACCCTCGCGAGTCCGAGAGTCGTGAGGTGAAACTCCTGGACGGCGTCTGGAAGTTCCGCGTCTGCACCCAGGAAGACCAGGATGCCGGATTTCGGGAGAAATGGTTCGCTCGTCCCCTCGAGAAGGTGCGTATACTGTGCTCCGTTAAATCCACTAAATTGCGTGCAAGAAACAAGGAAATACGGTAGTGACGAATGAAGTCATCGTACCTCGTTCAAAATATGATGACAGTCGCAACAAATGTTACAAATCTATCGATGCACTAACAAGGTTCACAAGATCTACCCTGGTCTGTTGCGATGACCCTTACTCTAATGCCCGTGTCCCACTAGAGCGACAGCCAGAAACAAAAGACAGCGACAAGCCTCAAACCCATGCAGCATGCTCGCGATGGCACCTTTGGCAGGCGTTAAGTCGTTCGGTGCTCGTGAAGTAAGCACGAGCGATTGCAAACCTGCCAAAGATACCCTCGCGTGCATGATTCTCGTGTTTGAGCATAGCTTTCTTTATTATACAAAGCCTGTCAGATCGCGAAAGACTCTGTCGCTCTAGTGGGACAGAAGATAGGCTCGCTGCTGGGAAAGGAATGCCAAGGACCATCGCCTGCGGCTGCCAATAACTAGCCAGGACGGAAGGCCGAGGAATCGAAATCCACACTGCTGTAACCGATGGAGTGACTCTATCAATTTCCAGGCGATTTGCGTCGTAACGTCGTATATAGAGTCGCTGGCATCTGTAGAAACGCAGAGACAGCTCATTGCTTTCCCGCTTCATACCTCATGATTCGTCGTCCGGCGTTCTTGTAGGCTAATGCTGTAATTTCACTGGCTCCGAAGCGATAGTAAAGTGCTTGGGAGTCGCAACGCCCTGAAGCTCTCAGTGACTATACACCTTTCCAAAAAAACACTCGACCTCAGGGGCAACAAACCGTTTTCGAGCCCAGTCACTAAGTTTGAGGCTAGACTCTCACCGGCGTCCCTCCTAACCCTAACCGAGTGGACTGTGATTTCAATAGGCGCAGCCTGCGTAGGCGCAATTTGAAACGCTGCTGGCGGCTAAATTATCGCCTTTTCCCGCTATATTTAGTGTTTCATGGTACATGTATTTTCCCGAGGACATTGAAGAAGCACTGTACCTCATTTATAAAAAACAAAAAAAAAATGTTAACTATTTTTGATGGGTACGCGCGCGTCTAGTTATTTTTTTCTTACGATAAGTTTTGATGGCGCCGCGGGATTCGCCGCATATGAAACGACAAAGTGTTTTGCTGTCAAAAATAAATTGCAACAGAAGAGGGCCGAAAGTCATGCATTTTTTACGCTCACAAATAACGTGTTTACCGATGGAGAGAACACGGACATCCAATTGAGGAAGTGTTAATATTCGAACAATATATCGTACGTACCACACGATGCAGCATTATCCGAAAAGAATTTATTTGAGAAAGATCTCAAATAACACAGTCACAGCCGACGACAGTCACATCTTGACGATCGGACGGAATCCCAGACTTGTACGTAACGCGTTACAAGTAATTGATTACTTGTAATCAATTACAGTTAAGTGTAATTTTGTAACGCTTCAATTACATTTGTCAAGCTGTAACGCTCGGAGTAATTCAATTACTTTTTTTCTGTAATCAATTACAAAATCAATTACAGAATTACCAATTACATTTTTCATCCCACAATTTTTTTTCTCACAAAAATCAGCATAGTCACTCAGCCATGGAGCAAAAATGATTGACATTTTTTTAACATCTAAAAAAAATAAAACTAGGATTAGTCGGCAAATCCTTTTTTCTTTTACGCCACGCTCTTCTACAAGCGCGCCACCAGCCTTGGCTGGGGAGTTCCGGATCTCGTTGCAGATTGCTGATAAAGTCGACGGGAAGCGGGAACTCGCTATTGACCTTTTAGTGGGCTTTGTTCCTTAGGTCGACGCGTCAGCTACACGACAAGGTCCGGGTCTGAAAACAAAAAAGGAAACAATAACCAAACAAAATTGTGTACGCAATATTTTACTGTGTATTTGTGTATTTCTGTCATCGCAATAAAAAGTAACGTGAAAGTAACGTGAAAAGTAATCAATTACTTTGCAGTAATTGTTCAATTACTTCTGAGAGGCAGTAATCAGTAACGGTAATCGGTTACTTTTTTGACTGTAGTAATTGTAATTGTAATCGGTTACTTTTTTTCAGTAACGTGTACAAGTCTGCGGAATCCGAGATGACTTCGTTTTGGTGCACGTTTTGGGGAGTGCTTCCTTTTTTTCACAACCGCACCAAACAAAAAACAAAAAAAACAAAAAAAAAACGCGATTGATTTGTTTCTCACCCCAACCCGGACAACTATTTTTGGAGAGGACTGAGGATTCTACGCGGATTATCTCTGGGAGGAGGGAGAACAATGTTCGCAAAATCGCGTCGAGGGCCGTTCAACGTCCTTCACCTTCTTCGTTTCCCGTTAATGTCGAGCAGAAAAGCTTGAATGGCAGACACTTACCAGCCTTATTTTTCACAATGGAAGACAACACAAAAAGGGTACGCGGCACGCATAAAAAAATTAAGTGGAAACTTTCAAGAAGGGCGAGAAAACGTCGAATGCAAAACCGCAAAAACGTAGGTAGAGAACAGCGCTGAGCGGGTCTTCACAGTCCCAGAGAGTGACAGAAAATTTCTAGCTGATAGAGGGCGCGAGAGTCGCACCAGCCGCATCAGCATCAGCAACATGGCGGCGGCCTAGGAGCGTTTTTTGGAATGGTGTATATTCTGTTGCAGGTTGAGAGTAGCACAACAAGCTCCTCTCGCAAAACTTTTCACACTTTTCACTTTAGAAGAGCGAATGCTGGAGGCGAGGCGAGAGGGGAAAACCACCAATCATGGCGAGCAGAGTCCTTGTGGGAGGGGCCTGCCCTGCTGATTTTAACCATCAACAAACCGTAATAGGCTACCGAACAACCAGGAAAAGGTTCCCCCTGTGCAATCGAAAGCGTCGCGGTGGTCGGCCTTCCACGATTGGCCGAATGCCGACTATGACGTCAGCAAAGAAGTTCTCATGGACGGAAATAGGAGGAACGTGAGGGACTTCAATTTTGACGGTGTTGACAGTGTTGTTTCTAGAACGCTATGATTTCAAGCTTCTGCCATGCTAATTACAAACACCATCGAACTTGTTGTTCGCAAGGTAATGACGTCACGAAAAATAAACATACGAGGGCGCCACGGAAACATCTCGCCGCTAATACACACCGCGACACTGTATACACCACAAACAAGAGATCACCATTGTGTTTTTTTTTTTTTTTTTCCCACGTACCTAAAACTGCGGTGCACTATACCGCGTTTCTCCTTATGTTGTACCGCAGCGAAGGCTAGAAGCGCGAGCTCATATCGTTTGCAGCCGCTCTTAAGTCACGAGAGCTTGTGCCGCCGAGATGTGCCCCTAAGCAAGGAGCTCGCGCTTGTAGCCTTTCATGTGGTACATCATAAGGTGAAACAGGGTATAGAGCCGCAAGCACCACTGCATACAGATTTGAACCCGTCACCGCGAGATCCGCAAGCTTCGAATGCTTTGTGGGAATTAGTTCGAGGAGGAAACTTGGTACGTGGCAGTCGTAGAACCACGCCTATTGTGGTGACTCGTCTTTGCAGACTGTCTTTTGTATAATGTATGAGCAGTGTGTGACCCCTGCGTTATAGGATTGCGGCGGTGCTCACGGTTGCTGCCCCTTCAGAGTCCCTATAGTAAACGACTTTCCTGGGCATCTTATTAGCGCTCCGTAGATCAGAATGTTGATGAACGATCACGACGCGAGAACCTGCGTTTCTCAGGCTGTCAGTGAAACATACTTTAGCCAACAACCGCCTATATTATACCCGTGAAAGATGACGCCCAAACATGGCAGTAATGATATGCGAACGTGTAAAAACTTCAAAATTTCGGGAATGATCTCTATATACTATCTCTTCCTCATTCAGTTATAAACATTTGGCTCTAAATTAACGAAGAAATATCAAGTACACATGGGAAGGATGGATGGATCGATGGATGAGGACGGCTGTACGCTTTATAACGGGCGGTAGCTTGCGCCCACTGGCGACGGACCCTGATTGTTTTAGTTTCTAAATATTTCTAAACCGCACCCTCGACGGTCCCTCAGGGACGACCACCCTAATTCAAACGAGTTCTAGTGCAACTAAATACTAAATAGAAAGTGCGCTTCAACGGAGTGCACTTCGCTTTAGTGTCATTTGTGTGGCGTGCCACGATGCTTCTTCCCGAAGAACACACTCAGTTTGGAGTGAATTTGCGTCTTTATCTTTTTTTTTTTTTTTTTTGCTCGTGATGATTGATTAGAATCATCTAATAGGCGCAAATAGGGTGCCTTCATGTGCGCTCTGCTTAGGGTGGTGGCATCTCGCCATTTTGTCACACACGTTTATTTTTATTTTTTGTTCCGAAGCGCGTGAAAGAGCGTGTCCCTGCACGCGCTTGTGGCGCTGACTGTGCTATGGCGACATTTTGTTTTCGCCGATTTCTTTGTATTTTTCCCGTGAGCGCGTGCTGTCGGCATGTGGTACTACAAAGGGTGGCATCACCCTAAACAGAAGGACATTGAGGCACCCTAGGCGCAAATATTGGCGATTCAGGTATACCGGTGTCTTGAGACGTATCTTTAATAAAAATACCGTAGCGGTGCTGCTGAGGCGCGTGCTAGAACCCACCGAGGACAAAGAAGAAACGCGTGGAGACGGCGCGTGACACACTTCTAATTTGATCTATTTGGATTATGGACGTCCTCTTGTAAGTTAAAAACGTAACATTTGGTGCCAGAAGTGAGATTTCTGGCATGGCGCCTCAAGTTACCAAGAAAGCCTCCTCTCGGGAAGAACATCCTCTGCAATGTGGTCAGCGTTGGCGTCTCATGGAACCAATGGATGGCGGCTGGATTTCCTGACGCCGCAAGTCATCATGCCGGAACCGCCACGAACAAGTTACCACTTCGCCATGTTTCCCACGACTATTCTGTGGCCGTGCAATGAAGATCATTTGCATCAGTAAGCTTTAAGGCATCGAGGCGCGTAGGTGCGGGCCGGACTTGAATGTTTTTCTGACTGTCGTTCTGGACATTCGGCGGATGAGGTCGTGAGCATAACGTTCTATCTTCTGGACTTTGGCCTTAGCGGTACATTTCATTTTCGGTGTTGCTTTTCAAAATGCGCAAATGTGCAGTGATGCTTTTCACCGATATGATATGTGCCGGCCTCAGAGTTCTAATTAGACATGTCACCAGGGGTGACGAAAACAGGAGCCAGCGGCGGCCAAGTGACAAGTGTCCGGGCATCAACTTCAAAAAGCGTCAATGTGTTGGATTTTGGTGTTGCGGAGGAACTGTCGCGATGAGCATCGGCAACGACACCTGCAAAGAGAACTGTCTATCTTTAATGGAACGTGGCGAGGTTGTTAAGCAGAATGAACCAACCTACGAAGAAACATCACTAAAAAAACTCAGAGGGGAAATAGTGTAGCGGTGCTGCTGAGGCGCGTGCTTGAACCCACCGAGGACAAAGAAGAAACGCGTGGAGACGGCGCGTGACACACTTCTAATTTGGTCTGATTTGGCTGTGGACGTCCTCTTGTAAATTAAAAACGTAACAATACTAAATATTGCTGATATATTTATTCCTTTACTTTAACATTTTAGGTGACCAATAGTACTTTATCCGTCGTTCTTGCCATCATTTACGAGTAAAACTAATTTATCCCGCGTGGCACCGGAGAACTTGAAGGGACTTTCACTGCCGAATTCAGAAACCTCACTTAAACTATAATCAAACTGAAGGGCCCCTCCACGTCTTCGAGGAAGGCGCGAGGGCCGGCGCTGGCCAATCGCGACGGCGGATCCGTCCTCGCGATTGGCCAGCGCCGGCCCTCGCGCCTTCCTCGAAGAAGAGGAGGGGCCCTTCAGTTTGAGTGTAGTTTGAGTGAGGTTTCTGAATTCGGCGGTCAGTGAGTTGAAGTGCACTTCGTTGAAGGTTGAAGTGCACTAAATTCGCCCGTATGACAGGGGTATAGGTCAATCGGATCGGATCATTTAATGATGTCCCAAAGCTGTTGGTAGTCTCTTTATATGGTTCTAAGCTCTAAAAAAAAAAAGAGCTTATTTCTTTTTAGGTATATCTCTAATCCATATTTTCCGACACTGTACTTAGTAGTATACTTCATTTTATCATAACTTGGTAAAGAGCGAACGATACGACCCCCTCGAATCAGTCAGAACGACGGAGTCGAAGCACGTGACGGCTTAGCAAAGGTACAAGGACAAGACTCAAGCGGTTGGAGAAGAGGGGAAAAAGAAAGTTCCTTCCTACTTGGATTCTCTTGTGTCCAGTCTTAAATAGTAACGTTACTAGTAACGCGTTACTGTAACTTTGTTACTTTTTTGGTAGCTTGTAACTGCAACGAGTTACTTTTTAAAAATGTAACTTGTGAAAGTAGTTCTATTACTTTTTCGGAGGTAACAATAAAAGTAACGACGTTACTTTTGCCGCTACTTTCCAGTTTTCTTATGAATGATATATCATTGAAAAGGTACAATCTAGATCCTTGCACTTTCCAAATTGTTTTTCCGATATTTTGAGTGTCAAGTTGGCCTTGTACAAACTTGTGAATACGTTCGTTCTCGCGAGTCACGACCCGTAGATTTGCTGAAAAAAAAATTAGTTATCTTCACGCACGCGCTTGTATTTTGCGACTGAACACTTACATTTTAGTATCTTGAAGCACTATCTATGTTGCGGTTTTTCTTTTTTCTGCGCGAACGCTTTTTAATCGGGTGAATCAACATCGAATCAACAATACGCGCGGAAGGCACTGCGTATGTTTCTTATTTTGATTAGCGCCACTACTACGCAATACGCATGCTTCGTATTTTTATTTGCGCCACTACTCCGACGTGGTATGAACAGTCGAAGCAAAATTTACTGCTGTTTGCGCGGGGTTTGTTTCTGGCTTGCCGGGGACGAACTGAAATATGTCCAGCGACTCTATGAACCCAGTGCAACCATCAACGAGCCAGCAATATGCTAGCGCTACCAAGGATAGAGCTTTTACATTGGGTCCGCGTTTGCCCCCGTGCAGTTCTTTCCAGCGCGCCAGTTGAGCGCCTGTTCAGCAAGGGCAGGAACGCGTTCGTCTAGAGTGCCTGAATGTCGTTCTGTTTAGGGTGATGCCACCCTTTGTAATACCCGATGCCGACAGCACGCGCTCACGGGTAAAATACAAAGAAATCAACAAAAACAAAATGTCGCCATAGCACAGTCAGCGCCACAAACGCGTGCAGGGACACGCTCTTTCACGCGCTTCTGAACAAAAACGAAAAATAAAACTGTGGGAGAAAATGGCCACATCTCTCCACCCTAAGCAAAGCGCACATGAAGGCACCCTACGTTCGTCATCAAACAAATGGGAAACTTTCAGACACTAATTTCGAGCAGCAACTGCTGCTAAGTTGCAATACGAAGCAAAAAGTATACTTTTTAATTTTATGCAATAAAACTTGGTGAGGGGCGTTTTCTAGTTTTTCCTAAATTTTTTGTGTTATAGAAAATTAACTGAAAAGTAACGTCGTTACTTTTTAAAAGTAACTGTAACTGTAGCGAGTTACTATTTTGTTGCGGTAACTGTAACGGTAACTTCGCTACTATTTTTCTGACAGTAACTGTAACTGTAACGAATTACTTTTTAAAGGTAACTTACCCAAAACTTTTTTTCTCCACTTCATTCAAGATCCATAGAAAAGCGGCTTTCTTCTCACCCGAACCGTGGCTGTTTCCACAGCACCACGCGCAACCCCCTCGAATGCGCTGATTGGCTCATTGTGACTCTAGCCTTTGCCGCTTGGCAATTAAGTTACGGTGAGAGGAAGTATAGTACGCTGTAATATTTGTTTGATTTTAGGCGTATTTAGTCGGAGGGTGAGAGAGAGAGATTGTGACAGCACGTCCTGTCATAGATGACGTGATTTTGTGAGGGCAACAGGTGAGGGACGACGGCAATGGGGAGAGATGGCCAGCTCGACTTCGTTATGACTCTCCCCCGACGATCATGGGGGCTTTTGTATTGGACCTTCGCCAGATCAGTCCGAAAGAGGACCCTAACACCTACCGCTGCAAAAATGGGCTCCTATGACGCAAAACTTAAACCTTGCACAGCCGACAAATGCCCGAGCAAAGCTCACCTCGTTCTTTAAAAAAAAATCGCAGTCCGGATCGGTGATTCCGATGCCCGTACCGGCCAGTTTCAACGACATCACCCAGAACGCGACGCTGCGGGACTACGTGGGCTGGGCCTGGTACCAGACGGAGTTCTTCGCGCCGAGAGGCTGGTGGAACGGCAAGAGCCGCGTCTTCCTGAGGTTCGGGAGCGTCCACTACGTCGCCCTGGTCTACCTCGACAACAAGCTGGTCGCCAAGCACGTGGGCGGACACCTGCCCTTTGGCGCTGAGGTAGGCACGGGTGCGGGGCGGTTGCACACTGATGACTAGACAAAAATACTTTCAGCCTTTCCACTCTGGTGAAGAAGCAAGAACGGCGAAGCTGTACTATGGTCGGAATGAAGTAATGGCCGGCCGCAAGTCAGCGAGCCAGAGTGAAAAGGCTCGAAAGCTTGCCACCGTCGTTTATAAATATCGATAGCTGTTTAGAGTTTCGTGTCATCATTTGTTTGCTGACGAACACGAAACTGGGGAAACTAGCCGTTAACAGCTCCGCTGTAAAAAGCCTGCGGTTCTGCAGTTAAACAGTCCCAGCGTGCACTATAGAAATTCTTACGTTACAATTTTTACACTGGCATACTGAAAATGGTGAACGGTACATAAACTCGTAAATAAAAGCAGCGAGCCAAAGCAGTGCCTCGGGAACGCCCGCGTTGTCCCCAGCGTTCGCCTGTGCAATCCTCTTATAACGATAACATATATGACTATGTACCGCTTATAACGATCAGTTTCTAGCAACCCTAACGTTTTTGCGTGAGGTACCGTGTCCAGATACAACGATGATCGGTTACAACGATTGCATTTCTTGGTTTTATTGCACATAGTTGAACGTTGGAGACCATCTCGGGCTTTCAGAATATAAAGAGCCATGTCGTGGCATATGTTCTGCGTTTGATCTTATTTGTTTCTTTCCGCGGTAGTGTAACGGGGCGACGGAGAAAATTTCACCGCAGATAAGCTCATCGGAGAATATCTCACCGCGAAACTGTTCGATGCGAGCAAAAGCTCATCGGCCTTTTGACAGATGCGGAGAAAAGCTCACCTACGAGTCTAAACATTGAGCGTTCACTCAAGTGAAATACGTTCACTCAACTTAAGTATGCTGGAACGCCCCGTGCGCATGCGGTCTTTCTTCGCTTCACTATACCCGTTTTCACCTCAAGAACCGAAGGAAAAAAGTCCGGCTCCTCGCGGAGTATTACTAATTTTTCATTTTACGAGGAGAATTAATATATATGTAGGTGCATTTTAGATTAGATATATGTTATCTAATCAAGACGTATACGTTTCAAACGCCAAAAAGATCGCTTCTTCCTCCAACAACCAAATCTTGTAAGAACTACTTCGCCCGGCGTATGAACAATGCGCAAAACGTCCTCTTTTCTTGAGGTGAAAACGAGTATAGTAGACGTTATTTTAAAAATATTAAAACATCTTTAACATGTCAGGCGTTGCCCGAAGGAAACGAAATGAATATTTTCAATAGAACACTGATGAAAACGTAATGGGTGCAATTATAACGAGTGTAGAGGCCTGTTGCTTGAAAAGTTTACGGATATTTATTTATGAAATTATGTTTTGTGTATCGACACCGCATTGTCGAGTCTCCACATTTTACCATTCGTTTAAGAAACAGTGGTTTCAACTCTTACCTCATTCGAACGGAAAATAAAAAGGTCGTATCACGTAAGAATTACATGTGTTACCGCTCACGCGAAACGGGTTGACATAAAAATGGAACGAGAACTATAGCCAGTGTGGAGAATAAAAATCAAGATGACAGCCAGACCGGTTTTACTAGGATGATTTACATCAAACCTGCCGGCTGTACAACACTAGAGCGCACGACGCTAGAGCGCCGACATTAGAGCGCGCGACTCGAGAGCGTAGCGACGTTAGCGCGCGTGTCATTAGAGCGCCCGTCACGAGAGCGCACAACCAGTCCAACGCGAGTGGCCCGACCCGACGGACCACTTGTTCGGAAATCGCGTTCACCGCGCGGGAGGTAGGAGGAGGAGAAGAGGGTACAGATGAGGCATTCCCTCCGTACCCTCCCCTTTTCCTTCTCAAGAGCTCCGCTCTAATTCGGCATTACTGGGAGTTGTGAACATCTTTCATTTTTAATTTCGGAGCTTATTCCTGTGCTATAGTTCCGTCTGTCTTTTTAGGAACTCGTTTTCATAACCAGCATCTCCTAACATTTCCCTCTGTCTTTTGACGGCTTGCGCGATGAAGTGCACACATGATTTTTCCATAGCGTTCCTGATTAGTGATTTCACAACACCTGCTTTCACCGACTTAGCGTGGCAACGTTTCTTACTTAAAAACCGGTTTTGCTGCTATCTTTCCGTAGTCCCAGCAAAGACCACCCTCCATGTGAATACGCAAATCCATATACTGCAATACTCCGTTGTACGGTGAACATAAGCTCTGGAGCTGCACAGCTTACTGCCTGTTCAATGTGTGATACATGCTTTTCCCGAAACGCGGAAATCACTATATCGTCAACCTATCTCTTTACAAAGCCTGTGCACAGCGAACGGTCTGCCGACGCATCAGTGACCGTAGAGTACAATTTGTTTAAGTATATTTCTGCTAGCATCGGAGCAACCGTTGCCTGCAGGTATACAAATCAAGGATGCAAAGAAAACTGTTTATCGCTACTCCTGATTTTGACTGAAAACTAAACGAATTCAAGTCCAAGACCTCTCAAACTTGCTAAATTAGTCCTGCCTTCTTTAGAGATTAATTATAGTTCTTTTATGCCCATTGAAACAACTGAGCAGTCCTTTCCATAAAACCCCTCAAGGACATTGATGAGTTCATTTGAATTCTTCAGAGCGAGACTCTTCTCCAAATGAACCAGATTTAAGCCTCGTTGAAGGAACCTCGAACCAGTATTTCGCCTTGTGAGGTTTTCATTAATTACTGTACGCAGGGGCATTTCCGGCTCGGGTTTGTCAAGCATGATCATCATCCACCAGCTCACCTACGCACTCACAATCTTTGCGAATTTACGATAGGATGTTGACGCATTGGTGCTGTGTCTCTGGAGACGTTTTTTACGGAAAAAGCTGACCTACGAATCCTATACAATCAATCCTTTAAATTTACTACCCGCGGCACTATCCTGGTGCAGATGTTCGGTGTCTAATCATGTCTGAAACGTTTATGTTCGAGTTGTTGTTTCTCTTTGTGTTGCGGTTTTTTCTTCGATATTCAATAAATTTCTGAAATCTTTGGTATTCGAATATTTATGAATCAAAGCACTCTGGTTGGGCCCTAGAAGATTGGACTACTTTCTAAGAACAAAGGTGGAGAAGCTATGGTTTTGTAGAATGCAAAAAAACGTACAAAGCGATAGACAAGTCTTTTTTCTTCGTAGACTCTTTTCTGAGACATGCAGAACGGGCATTGCCTTAAGGTTGTGTTCTATCAACAACAAAAGGTAACGTTGTCACCGTACTCGAAGCGTCAACGAATTAAGATTTTGGAAAAAAAGTTCTGAAATATATTTCGCATATTTGCAGGGGCGCTTTTCTAGTTTCCGTCAAAAGGCTGGAAAGCTCTGCACCCGGCAAACTGGCATTCAGATTTCCTTCGATGAGTTTTTTACTGAAACATTTTTGGCGGTCAGCTTTCTTCATAACGGTTATGGACGTCACAATACTATTTAAAATGACGTGAGGGACGTTTAAATAGCCACCATTAAGATCGCAGCCCAAATGCTTGTCAAGAATAGACCAAATATAGCAAAACGTAAACCCAACTGCAGGTAGTCCCTGTACCTATATGCCCAACCCCACTTCCCCGCCCCCTTTTCTTTCCGATGTCAGTAAACAATTGGATTGAAAGAGTCATATCCGTTTTATTTTTTTATTTTTTTTACTAAAGGCATATTCAATCAATCAAAAATCACCAACGCTCCGATAAGGAGAGTCGCACAATTTTGTTCTGTCTGTGGAGCCGCAGGTGCATTACATATTTTGCGGTGTTCGCTCAACTGGTCGTGCGCTCTCGTGTCGTGCGCTCAATTGATCGTGCGCTTTTGTGACGTGCGCTCTAGTGTCAAGCGCGCTACTGTCGCAGCGCCCTCGTGTCGCGCGCTCTAACGTCGGCGCTCTAGTGTCGCGCGCTCTAAAGGCGCTCTCCCTTTTTGTTCTAGTATGGCGTGGTTTTCATCAACATAAAGGTTTTAAAATTCCAGCAATTACTTTCTTTCACATTGTTTTCCCTGATCGAAAGCATCGATCAAACAATTTGCCGTGTTTACAAATGCATATAGTGATAAATAGTCAGTAATTTCTACCTCCATAGCTTTAAAATTATCAAATTATTCTGATTAAAATTAAAAAATTCTAACATACATTAAAAAAAATCAATCAATATTTATTTTTTGTGCGTTTTTTTAGGCACGCTGCGTGGCACTGTCAACACAAAGAGCGAGGTTTTTGTTTTGTTTTTTCTAACATTTTAGTTGTCACCATCAGAACTACTGCGCAGTGGAAATTGCTTATTCTGGGCATAAACTTATGCGATAAATGTTTGACGCTGGTCAACCCCTTCTTTAAGTAAAATGCGAAAGATCGCTTTGCGCTAACAGTGTTACACAGTGTGCCGCCTCCGTGAGAGTCGCGTGAAATCTTGATAGCACTACTGCTATCGAATGATAACGACCACTTTACATAAATATTTAATTTGAAGTGAGCTTTTCTACGGGTCTGCCAAAAGACTGGTGAACTTTTCTCCAGACCCGCACAAAAGTGGGTGAGCTTTTCTCCGTAATACAATGTAACGTAAACAGAAAAAGACAATGACTTGCCGCAATTGGCGCTCCTGGGTTTGGCACATCGCTTGTTGCGCACATTGCAACCATTGAAATGTGACAAGTTTTGGATGCGGCTTTTGGATCCCCAAAGGACCAAGAGAACCCCGATCAAAACTAAGGGCTCTGAAGGAAGAAAGGAAACGACGATTCCTTTTTTTCCCCAACTTGAACGAAAGAAAGGAAACCTCTAATAACTGTTGTCATTAAAACAAAAATAAGGACGAAAACCGGCCTTCATTTTTAAGACTACCGGACTGCAGCCTCTATTCCTAACGCGCAGGTGACGAAAGCTCTGATCTACGGCGGCAAAAACAGAGTCACGGTTGCCGTGAGCAACACGCTGACCAAGAGCACCATTCCCCAGGGCTCCGTGTTCAAACCCCAGGACGCCGAGAGGTAAGTGGAGACAGCAGCAACGTGAACTGAAAAATCAAGAGGCCTTCGAAGCAAAGGCCTTAGATTCGCAGCGATTCTCAAGAACCCCTTGGTGTCCCCGAGACCTTTTCGGTGCGGCTCCGCGAATATCGAGAACTTTCGCGAGGCCCGCCGGATGCGACTCATTGGGGGAACCTTTTGGGTGTAACAGTATCAGACAATACGGAATACCGAAGAGGTCCCCTTCAGAACACACTCGGGCGCGTGCCCGGATCTATACGCATGCCTGAATGTCGGCAGCAGTGTGTACATTGTTCGAGCGCGAAAACGGGTCACTCGTATTGCTTGGCTTTCTTATGCAGGATGCCACACCACCTTTCGCGCTGATCGTGGTCTGCAAATGACAGTTCATGGACAGTTCATCTCGTAGGCAATGGTCAGTTCACACCAAACACCTAAAACGTAATCCGGACATATTTAAATATACAGCTTTATTTTGCCCTTGCTTGGAGTGCCTTTTATGTGTTTCTTCACCTCATATGTTGGGTTTATATATGTATATGTGACGGTAGCACACCGAACTGGGCTTCGACCATCACACGCACCCACACTTCTCTCTCCCTGTGTCATAGTCGTCTCCTGTCGATTGTATACACTTTACGGTCGCGTTCATGTAAACCTAGCCATTGTCAACATCGTATTCAATGCGAGTCCCTGAATGGCCTCCGAGTGAATCAGGGACCAATTTCGTCAGAGCCGGAAGTTTGAGAACCACTCCTTCAGAGAACCGGCGAACTGTATATTCTGTTTCATACTTAGTATACAGCGCTGTCAAAACTACTGGCGCAAGCGCGTGGCTTCATCTATGATTTCGTTTGCGCGAGAAAGCGTGCAAGTGATCTGCGAGATCACACCCCATGCTCGCGCAAGCAGCTCTGGCAACGTTGAATACTAAAAGTGAAACAGTGTCGATGCCATAACGCGAGAAGTAGATCTAGCGAGCTGATTGCCCTAATGTCAGTGGGTCGTGAGAAAGTAGCGCCAAGCTCCCCACATGTTCGCCCTTTTGCTTCGCGGAACGACCAGTTTCTTTCTAAGCTCGCCAGTATCGATGAACCAATCTAAATTCGCTAGTCACGGGTAGCTTTATAAAGACGTTGCTTGAATGACGAGACCACGATCGTGGGCGAGACATTACATGCGGCACCCGGTGATTGGCGCCATTGAAAAGTATTTTTCCTACCTGTAAGGACGCAAAACAACATTATTATTGTAAGAGATCTGTGGGTAGAAGCATGATTGATAAGGAGATTGCACGCACATCGCCAACGAGGCTTATATTAACGAAGTACGCTTTTAGTACGATGATGCTCCATAGCGATCCTGGTGCGACCGGTTCAAAACGACTGAAATGGCGCGATTGCCATGGCAACCGAGGGCGATCAGCCAATCAGCTTGAGACGTTCGGTCGTCTGTGTGTTAGTGCCTGTTTGTGTCCGTCTAGCAGACCAGGGACTCAATATAGAGTTTTATTGGAGTAAACGCAAGCCCCCTACATAAGCGTTAACGCTGCGTCCTCCACACTGCGCATGAGCCATACGTACTCACTGCAGCGAGCTATGCGTACGTACGCTCGCTATCGATTATTAGGGAGTTTTCGTAGACCGCGTTTCCCCCTCCGCTAAGCCCTCCGCAACGAAGCAGCCGCTACTGCGCCGGCGCGCCGATGGCCTTGACTGTGGAGTTCCGGCTAGCGTAACTGCTTGCGGAGAGCGTTGCGGGACAGCGGAAACGATCTACGAAAACTCCCTATTGCGAGTGTACGTAGCGGTCCCCTGCGTGTTATTCTGGTTACTCTCGTCGCGCACGGGAGAGTGCGAGACTACTCCAGTTTGAAAAATGGCGGCGGTGAGGCAAACCAGTGGAAGTGCTACGCGCGTTGTGCGGGTTCGCTTCATTGTTGAAGATGACCTCAACCTGGTGGAAAAAAGTGAAAGAATGGAAAAAGGGCGAGGCTCGTGGCGGGCGAGGACACACGGAGTTCGGAGCTGGAGACAGACGAAAGAGCCGGTGCCGAGCAAGGCCTCCAACAGAAGACGGTATTGACAGGCGACCCACAACTTCCTCAAAGAAATCAATGCGACAAACCCTTTCGAGCGCCCGCAAAGATGGGTGGCGATAGCCAAGAACGTCGCCGTCGAACCCAAAAAGGTGTCTACCGTGCGGTCAGTACGCGAGCGGTGCGACCTATTGCTTGCATACTTCCAAACAAATGACGAAGTCAACATACGATAGTAGGGATCCCACAAGACACTGGAGCGAACCAGAGATCGAACTGCTGGTCGCACAGGGCTAAAAAAAAAAAAAGACAAAACAAGTTCACAACAGGCAACTGGAAAGAGATTCACACACTTCGTAGCAAAGCGAGGGCGAGGACATTCGCGGTGTTGGATTGGCTTGATCGAATACCCGCCTTGGATTGTTTGAAGCACTTCGTTGAAGCACATCTACATGGCGCTGCAAGTCTTTACGTATTAAAACCTCTTATCCTGGGAAAAGTTGCGCCATTCTTTGAACTAGCCGCCGCGTACACTATTGGCCAGTCGTCACGTGACATCTGGCTTTCGGTTTTGGACTTCCGGTCGTCATTTATTTCCCAAGATGCTGCTACGCCGCAGCTGGCGGGCTGCTGCGCCCTTGGAAACGTCGACCGGAAAGCTTTTCAGTGTTCCCTCTGAAACGAAAAAGGAACCTCGGTGGAACATCTTGCTTCACCGAATCGGTCGAAACAATTTCAACCCGACGGGAGCCGCCAAGTTATGCGAGGTAGGTGCTCTGCATACTCATCATTAGCATGCAAAAAGACAGCTGTTTAGAGTGAGTTATGCATTCCATTCCACCGTAAACGCGAGCGATGTAATAGCGAGCATACCACTGCCAACTTGGCATGCACGGACGCTGGTGCCGTGGCAATAAAGGCACAGTTGCGTTTGAGAGCGTTCGACTGCGTCGCGTCGAGAAACGAAAGGGAGTCACCGGCACATCTGTGCTTCGTATGAAGCGTGGAATACAACTCAAAGCATTGCTTGGCACACGACAAAATTTGTATGGATGTCCTGCGTTCTCGCAGTCGCCACGCAGTGAAACGCTCTCAAACGCAACTGTGCGTCGGCCTGCTCCCGCTCGTGCTTGTGGCATCGGCGTCGCTCTCAATTACGGGTGCGTGCCGACTAAGCGCTCTCTTCAAGTGTTGCGTACCTGCTCGCGTACCATACTTTATTTCGCACAGATAGCTTGCAACGCTGCCGCAGCTGCGGACACGAGCGTTTCAATATAAGTGCGAGCGCAGCCAGTGCGACAAGCAGGAGTATATTTTCTCTAACGATATCGCTTTTACTGGACGAGCGTCTGTGCTTAGCCCGCTCAAAGTGCGTTCGCTCTCGTAGCGTCAATAGGGTCTTCTTCGCTCGTAGTTTTATTCAAACGAAAAACGCTAGCGAATACAACATTTGAGATCAACCCCCCACTCGCGCCAGCAGCCTTGACAGCGCGCAAACTTCACGTGGAGGTCTTTGGCAAGCTAACCTAGGATCTGCAGAAACGGGAGTTTGAGGTGGCGTTACACGATGTGCTCTCGACTAAAGTCCGATCTCTTCAATATATTACAAGACCACTTCAGTATCGACCAATTCAAAACACTAATCATGCAAAACAAATGAGAAAAAAAAAAATTGAGGAAAGGTGCTCTCCCAAACATTTCTTTTTTCGTTACCTTCAACCATGAGAGTAAACCACCACTGCAAGGGAACTGGAAATGTAAATAGTATGTACATCTCACAAAAAAAAAGAATATATATATATATATATATATATATATATATATATATATATATATATATATATATATATATATATATATATATATATATATATATATATATATAATTCTTCAGTGAGACACGTTGCATCAGTTTTATGATACAAATTCGATGAACAAACTGATGATTTTGGATGCCTCTTTTACAAAGTGCAGTTCCATTTGTTTGTTTCGGTTGCCTCCCTAAAGTCCCCGAGGCACCCCCAGTAAAACCTGAATAGTGCACCACAAGGTAGTGCCCACAGTACTGAAACATCCCCAGGACGTACTGCTGCAGCAACCGCAGCTGCTCTTTAGTTTGGCTGTCCGATACTGTTCCGTAGTCTTTCGAGGCCTATCCACTAATGCCATCTCTGTCCATTCTAGGAGTGTGTGTCCTCTCGAGGGCCCCCAACAAGGTCCAAGCGGAGCTTTTCTCTCGGGGCAATCTGACGCAGTGACCACAGCTGTTGGTGAGTTTGGCAGTCCGATACTCTTTCCAGGTCAACTGAGGCTCACCTACCGCTAGTGCCGTCTTTGTTGATTCTAGGTGAGTGTGTCCTCTTCAGTCCCCCCAGCAAGTTCCAAGCGGTGCTGTACCGAACCTAACTTTCCCAGCTTCCCCAGAGCAGCCTGGTTCGGCAACCCCCCCCCCCCCCCCCCCTTCAAGCTGCTGGTGAGTTTAGCACAATGATACTGTTTTTAGGTCGACCGAGGCACACCTAAAACGACTGTTGTCTCTGTTCATTTATTCATTCTAGAAGTGTGTGCCGTCCCATGGCTGCCCGAGCAAGGTCTGAGCAGCGCCCTACAGGCCCTTGCTTCTCCATCTTGTCCTCGACAGATTGCCGCAGCAACAGCTGATGAGTTTTCATTTTCGACTGCTGTTTATTTCCTAGCAGACTGCAGACAGTTACAGACTGTTACTTACATCCAATCTTATTGTCTCACTGTTAGCCACTTAACAAGACTAAAGTAATAATATTTTTTGTTTCTTTTTCAGGCACACTGCTTACACTTGGTATCAGGCAGTATCATCAGAATGCCAGTCTTCCTTGTGTACTGATGAATAACAAAGAGCTACAAAGAACTATATTTAGGGTTCGGAGTTTTCGGTTTAAACCGATAAAAACCGATAAAAGTACGCCGAATCCATTTTCGGAAA